CATCAAAAGACAACACCAGATGCAGCATCTCATGCCTGCAATTCCAGCACTTCGGGAGGCCAAGGCAGGAGAATCACATGAATGTGGGAGATGGAGGCTGCAGTGAGCCGACATCGTGCCACTGCACTCCAGCCCGGGCGACAGAGCAAGATTCCATCTCAAAAAAAAAAAAAAAAAAAGACAAAAGACAAATATCAAATGCTGGCAAGGATGCAGAGAAAAGAAGCTCTTATACACTGTTGCTGGGAATGTCAATTAATATACATATTATGGAAAACAGTGGGGAAGTTTCTTAAAAAAAACTAAGAGTAGAACATATGATCCAGCAGATTTGTCCAAAGGAAAGAAACTCAGTATATCAAAGGGATATGTATATTTATTAAAGCATTCTTCACAATAGCAAAGATAAGGAATCAACCTAAATGCCCATCAACAAAGAAAATGTGGTGTGTATACATACACGATGGAATACTGTTTACCTGTTTAAAAAGAATGAAATCCTGTCATTTGCAGCAACATGGATAAGCCTGGAGTACATCATGTTAAGCAAAATAAGTCAGGCATAGAAAGATAAATACTGCATGTTGTCACTCATGTGGGAGCTAAAAAAAAATCAAGCTTGTGGAGGAAGAGAGTAGAATTGTAAGGTACAGGAACTGGGAAGGGTAGAGAGGTGGGGAGGATGGAAAGAGATTGGGTTAGTAGATACCAAAATTATAGCTAGATAGAAAGAGTTCTGGTGTTCTGCAGCAGTGTAGAATGAATAAGGTTAATTTATTCTATATTCTCAAGAAGCCAGAAGGGAAGATTTCACTGTTCGTGACACAAATGATAAATGTTTGAGATTATAGATATGCTAATTACCCTGATTTGATCATTACATATTTTTTTACACATATCAAAATATCACTGTCCCATAAATATGTACAATTATTATATGTCAACTAAGAATAATAGGGGAAAGAAGTAACAGAACCATATACTCGCAATTGTCAACAACAAAAAAAAAAGTAAATAAATCTGCCAAGCAGTACACTTGGCCTGCATGGAGGAAATTATTAACATTTTCTGAAGGACATCAAATGATATTAGAATAAATGTCAGAACAAGAACTGTACAATTAGTCAGGTTTGTAAACAAATATATACATGTGGTACAAAGTTTATATAATAAGAATGTATCTAAATTTATATCAATAAGTCAAATGGAATTGGCAAAGTCTGATGGGAAACGTTTGGTCACATTTTTTGTGTTTAAATTTTTAAAGAACATGTATCTGTGTATAAGTGATATAAAAATTAGAAAATAATGTAATTCATATATTTTTAAAAGTTGGTGCATTTAACTACTGCAGTGTGCCCCAAATATGCTTGCAGCTAACTACCTAAATACATTTTGTATAAGATAATTCTCCCCTTTTTGTCAGAATATAGTAGAGCAAATGAAGTATGCTTCATTTATTCCTCACTCCCTGGGTTGTTGGTTTTATACCATGTTTCAGCCAGAATCAGGAAACTCCAGGGCCTTAAAGAGGTTTTCTCCTCATAAGTGCTAGTAGTTATTTGTGGCTCAGTATTATCCAGACCCAGTGGGAATAGTTTTTATTTAAAAAAAAAAAAAAAAAAAGCAAATATTTCTCTAACTCGTTTTTTACATGAGGAATAAATCCCGACTTTGTAGAATCATAGTAGCGAGTAAACAATGCTTGGGGCAAAATAGCATTGCAAAGGAGAACACTGGCTCAGCCTCATGGTGATTCCTGGCTTACTGTAGGGCATGCTCTAAGAGTGAACGTAGCCACAGAACAAGATGTGCACCATTGTGCTTTCTAGACAGTGAAGAAAATTTACTCATCTCCATTGCCTGCTGGCCTTGGCGTTCCTGTAAATGCTCTCTGTTCTTATTTAATCCTTAATTAGCCTGTCTTATATTATGTATGAGTTGGAGGACACCTCTGGTACACACTCAGAAGTTTGAATCTTCAAATAAGATTACTAGGCACACATAAGTGGAACATTTCCATCTCCTTTTAGCAGTGAGCAGCATTTGCTGTTATATCCCTCTGCCTATGGTGAGATATGGCTATCTCTGATACCTCGGGTGAATGACAACACCAGCCTATTATGAGATTTCTCACCTCTGAATTCCTGTAGGATTTGCAGTCTGTAACACACAGGTTCACACTGATTGTTCTCTGGCAGTTTTATGTGTGAAGAGGCTGGGAGTACTAGTGTGTCTCCCAAAGTGTGACTCAGTACTGGACAATAGTAGGCTTAATAAAGAAGAGAATAGAGAGGAAAGGAGGAAGAAAGGTGTGTGATTGCCTTATCTCCCAAATTAGATTGTTGGCTTCTTAGCCCAGACACCATATCCTTTATTCTGTCTCCTTTAATACTTATTAGAATATTTGGCAAACTGAGTATACAGTGCATGCTTATGGCATAAAGGCCTAAGGTTTTATTTAATGCATAGATTATCTCAAAAAGATCCCATTTCCACTCACTTGAACTAAATGCAGCCCAAAGGAAAAAGCATTTTCTGTAAATGGTATTGAAATTTTATTTACACTGAATTGAGATATCTCTAAATTTGTTTTAGATTGGCCTCTCATAGAACTGTAATCCTCATTTCAGAGAACAAATCTCTAAACTGGTGGTGCAATGAAGATAGTTATGACAACAGAAGTGTATGTAGCTATAAAACATAGATATTACTCTAAAGAAAGTACTAACAATGAAATCCTGTACATGACTAAAGCATTGCAGTGACTAAAAACTCATTCTGACCAAGGGTGATGGCATTTGGCCCACTGACTAGAGTTGGGAGGTGCATACTACCTTGCCATTGTACCTCTGCCAAAAAAATTAGTTGATTATACATATGTGGGTGTGTTTGTAGATCCTCTCTGTTCTATTCAATTGAGCTATAAACATTTCTACCAATGCTAAACTCTATTGAGAACTATAGCTTTCTAGTGGAATTTGAAATCAGGTTAGGTAAGTCCTACAACTTTGTACACCTTTCTTAAAATTACTTTATTGTAGAACCCTTCATTTCCATATACATTTTAGACTCCATTTATCTAGTTCTACAGCACATCAGCCAGAATTTTTGGTTGTGAGTGCATCAAATCTATACATTAATTTGGGAAGAATTGCCATATTAATATTCACATATTTATGATTTTTTTCAGTGAAGTTTTGTAGTTTGAAGTATAAAGGACTTGTCTTTTGTTAGATTTATTTTTAGGTATTTGCCTTATTGGTACTACTGTAAATGGAATTTATTTTCCAATTGTTTGCTGCTTACAAGAATACTTTGTGTATTTTTGCAACCTTGTAAAATTCATTAATTCTAGTTCTTGTTATAAACATTCCCAAAGATTTTCTATGTAAAAAACATCACATTTTCAAATTGAAAATGACATAAGGGAACACATGAAAAACTGAGAGGCAGATATCAGAAAAGAAGTAAAATTATTTCCAAGAGATCCCTTTGACTAGAACTGGTGAAAACAGGTATCCTTGCTTTGACCTCAATAGAAAACAATTTAGCCTTTCACCATTTAAGTGTGTAATGTTAGAGATTTAACTGTTTGTATATGCCCTTTGTCAGGTTAAATAAATTCCTTAGTATTTCTAGATTGTTGAGTTTTATCAGTGGGTTTGAATTTTTGTCCATTGCTTTTTCTGCATCAGTTGGAATTATCAAGTTTTTCCCTCCTATATTCTGTTACTCTAGTGAATAACACTGATTACTTTTAAAATGTTAAACCAACCTTGTGTTACTAGGACAAGCTCCACTTGGTTATATGTAATTTTTATATATGACTGTAACCGTAAGTTCCACATCTGTGGATTCAACCATCCAGAGAGAGTTTTTTTTAAAATAGATGGTTGTGTCTGTACTAAACATATATAGACTTCCAACAACTATTACATAGCATTTACAATGTATTATAAGTAATCTAGAGATGATCTAAAGTATACAGGAGATTTAAAGTATACAGGAGCATGTGCATATGGCAAATCTACACCATTTTATATCAGGGATTTGAGCATCCTTGGATTTTGGTATCTGAGGGGGGTCCTGGAACCAATCATGGATCCCAAGGGATGGCTGTATATGAATTTGGTTATTGAATGTCCTCCCCAAAGAAAGACTTTGGAAGATTAGAGTGGTCAGGAAAGAACTCTCTGAAGAGAGAATGTTTGGGCTAAGAATGAATGAAGAGGAGCCAGCTATGCAAAACTGGAAGAACACTGGAGGCAAAGGGGAACACTAGAGTGCAAAAGGTATACAGTGCAACAAGCTTGCCTCATTTAGGGGACTTGTCCTGCATTTGGGGACAAAAAGAAGCCCAGTATGGCTGGGATATAGTAAGTGATAGGGAGACTGGACAAGATGAGGTGGATGAGAGAGAGACAGGGCCAGATGCAGCAGAAAAAGAGTTGCCAACCTCTCTGGTACCTCAGCCACTTTCCAACCTTTGGGAAGCCCTAAGAATTGTCTACCAGAGTCTACTCAGTATCTGCTAGGCACATGCAGCTGTTTAAATGTAATTAACTAAAAGTATATAAAATGAAAAATTCCGTTTCTTGGTCACACTAACCACATTGCAGGTGTCCAGTAGCACATGTGGCAGATGGCTCCTTTATTGGACAGTGCTGCTCTAGGAAAGCCAAAGAAGTAATGCCAAGTTTGCTTAGCCTCTCCTCTGTAATTTTCTCTTTTAAAGCTAGAATCAGTGTTTTTCTATTTAAATGGAAATATATGTGGTGCCTAGAAAACTAGCATGTGGCCTATTCCATATGGATATGTTCTCATGGATGTTTTTCACCTAGGACAGAAAAGATGAGGAGGACTGGTAAATCACAAGCATTCTTAACCTCATTATAAATACATTGCAAATGTAAAAATGCAAAGTGTGGAAATCATGAATGTGAAAGTGGCTTTCAATTTATTTTAATAGGCATTTTCTATGTCTCATTGTAACCTAGGGACCTTGCTGCAAGAAACTGCCTGGTGGGTGAAAATAATGTTCTGAAAATCAGTGACTTTGGAATGTCTCGTCAAGAGGATGGTGGAGTGTATTCATCTTCTGGCTTAAAGCAAATTCCCATTAAATGGACAGCACCAGAAGCTCTTAATTATGGTAAGAATAGACCACTTTTTTTTTCTTGGTGGTAAAAATGAATGGCATCAGCACAAAACATTCACAAGCAAAATTTATAGGGGTAGCACAGAATGCAAGTTAGAATGATTTAAGGATCAACACAAATGAGTGAATTTCATACCTTTTAATTTGTTGAAATTATTGATTAGATTTCTATATGTAATATTGCTATATTAAAAAGGTAGATATAAGTACTTTTAAATATGACTGTACATCTGAGAAGGTTTTTAATACCAAAAAATGACTTTGTAATAGATTATACACAGAGTAAGTGTTGCTGTGGCTCTGGATCATTTCTTTCAAATGTCTTATAATTGGTCCAATAACCTCATCTACTGTTAGGTTCCTAAAATATTAAGTCAATCAGTTCTGTAGTTTCTCACTCTGAAATTGATGTGGTTTCTTAGTATCTCAGTCTGTGGAACTGATATAAATCTTGAGCAAAGAAGGAGATGGGAATTATATTTTAAAACAGCAGGGATTTTTTTCACTTGAATTTTTATGTGTCATTGTAATTGGAAATAAATATAACTTGCATTATCTGTGGTTGGGATGAAATGGGCCATAACAAGATGAATGACAACTCAAGAATTTAAGAGAAAAAAAAAAAAGAGTGTGCTTTAAGTGAAATTAGAAATTACATTTTCATTGAGGGAAGCAGCATATAAGCCATGGCTTGGTGAGTGGGTATGGTATGTTTTGAATAAAAACGTAAAATGATTCTTTGTTGATTTAAAATGAAATATTACCTCATTATGGGAACTAATTTGTAAAGCATTTATAAATGCCTTAATTTAATTCCTAAATTAGAGAAAGCTTTTTTAAAAAAATTGAGGTGAAATTCACATACCGTAAAGTTAATTACTTTAAAGTGAACAATCATTGGCATTTAGTACAACTGACAATGTTGTATAACCAGTACCTCTAGTTTCAAAACATTTTCATCATTCCAAAGTAAAACCCTGTCCCCAGTAAGCATTCTCCCCTCATTTCTTCCATCCTCTCGCCCCCTAGTAGCCACCAATCTGTCTTCTCCCCTCATTTCTTCCATCCTCTCGCCCCCTAGTAGCCACCAATCTGCCTTTTATTTCTGTGGATTTAGCTCTTCTGGGAATTTCATACAAATGGAATTATATAATATGTGATATCTTGTGTCTTGGCTTATTTTACTTAGCATAAGATTTTTGAGGTTCATCCATGTCGTATCATGTATCAGTACTTCGTTCCTTTTTAGGACTGAATAATTCACTGTATGGATATACAACCATTTATTTATCCATTTTTGTATATTTGGGCAGTTTTCAGTTATTCTGTGTATTTACTAGAAGTCATGATAATTTTACATTTAACTTTTTGAGGAACCACCAAATGTTTTCCAGATAAAGTTTTGAATGGAATTGGTTTGGAAGTTGATTGGGGCTGACCCAGCTACCACAGATACTAACCCTCACTCTTAGTTTGTCTTTCAGTATGTCAGCAAGAGAGGTTTTTACGAGCTTTCTAGTGACTGCAAGCCAGTTCCACTATTCCTTAGAATCTAGAGAAAATGGCAGACCTGCTGTTTTCCATAGTGATTCCTCTCTGCGGTGATTTTTATTATTAACTCTAGGGTCAGATTATATTACTAAGGGGGAATGATCACAGGATAAAAGATTATAATACTCATATTTACACAAAGGTTTTTGTTAGATGACAAAACATTTCAAGCACTAAGGAAGCTGTAACTGGGTTTCGGAGTCCTTAAAGTCTTACCAGTAAAATCCAACTCTAGAATTTGCTCTTAACTCTGTTTGCCAGATTTTCTGTGTTATATAGCCTTTAAAAGTTCTCTTACTCTTAAACAGTTTTGCCAAGTAAAATTCTGCCTCTTGATCACAGTGTATTTTTTGAATTTCAAGCTGACTAAAGTGTTGTATTTACAAATTAAAGTTTCAATTCTGGATATATCTAACAGCCAGACCTAAAGCATTTTAAGTAATAAGGACAAGTCTAAGGAGTTTTTAAAATTGAGACAGGGTCTTACTTTGTCACCCAGGCTGGAGTGCGACGGCGTAATCATGGCTCACTGCAGCCTCAACCTCCAGGGCTCAAGCGATCCTCCCACCTCGGCCTCTGGAGTAGCTGGGACTGCAGGCATGAGCCACTGCGCCCAGTCTCTGAAGATCCTTGATCTATAGTGAGGGACTTTTTGTAGTAGCCTTTAGTAAATTTTATAAAACATAGAACAATTTAGATGACAAGGAAGGAGAGATTTTGATATAGGAGACGTTTGTAGTATTTATTGCCCAGTCCAATGAGAGAGCTCCTGAAAGACTCTACAGGCCTTCTCCTAGCAACCCAGAGAAGTTTAGTTTCCACAGACTAAAATTACTGAAGATTGACTCTAAATCCTAGTGTGTTTTTTTTTTTTTTTTCTGAGATGGGGTTTTGCTGTCTCCCAGGCTGGAGTGCAGCAGTGCGATCTAAGCTCACTGCAACCTCTGCCTTCTGGGTTCAAGCAATTCTCCTGTCTCAGCCTCCCCAGTAGCTGGGACTACAGGTGCCCGCCACCACACCCAGCTAATTTTTGTACTTTTAGTAGAGACAGGGTTTCACTGTATTGGTCAGGCTGGTCTCAAACTCCTGACCTCAGGTGATCCACCCGCCTCAGCCTCCCAAGGTGCTGGGATTACAGGCGTGAGCCACCGGGCCCAATCCAATACTTCTTTCATATGTGAAAGTAGTATATACTCTTTCTTCACTCTTGTCTCAGAATGGGTGAAACACTCAAGTCTCCCATGTAGTATGGGGTTGGGGTAGATGAAAGAAACCTCCAGTCCAAGGAACCTCTCTGAAACTTAGGGCCATAGAGCCATGATCATGCCACTATACTCCAGCCTGGGCAACAGAGTGAGACCCTGTCTCAAGAAAAGTGGGGAGTGGGACATAGAATTAAACCTGTTGTCACTGCTTTATCATAAGTGTTGTTTTTGTATATTTGGCTTTAAAAAAAAAGCAATACTAAAGGGCCTTCCCAGCCCTATTGCTAGCCAGATCATTGTCCTTCCTAGATGAAAATACTCTTGATACAGTCTCATACTTTTCTCATAAATGGCTGAGAAATCTTTTTGTATATGTCTCTCTCATATACTTTTTTTTAAAAAAATACAAAATGGTAGAATACTCAAAGCCTATTTGGCATGTATTGCTACCATCCTTATTGACAGCTGTCACCAAAGGTACTGTTTTTATAAAGGGAAAATAGAATACTGATCTCCAACTAAGAAATCATCTATTTATCATCAATTATTGAACAGAAATTTTCCTTTTGTCACCTGGGTATTTGGAGCTGATATATCCTCTAATTAGTTATATTAGCATGATGTAACTAAGTACTGTGAAATGGGAGGGAGATAGAATTTTTAGTGAGCAGATTTCCCAACCAGTTATGCCATTAGTTGCATGACCCTGGCAAGCCATCTACTACTCTACGTAATTTCCTAATTTGTAAGATAAGAACGATAGGACCTTTTCCCTATAGAGTATTGTGAAGATCAAATGAGACATAGAAAAGTAGCAAAATTCTATACAATTATAAGTTACTCTTGGTCTGTTAAAATTACCCAACAAAACCAGGTTCAAAGATCCAGGTTTAAGAGCTAGGTTATAAGCTTTCACATCTGAAGTGTGATCTTGGTTTATATGTAATATATGTCTTTATTGATCTCTGCCCAGATACCTTACAAAATAAGATACAAGTCTGTATAACCGACATTTTCTTAAAGAATTAGTCTTAACTTGTAGCCATAGAATGACTTTCATTAAAAGTATTAAATTACTGAATGCCAAGCATGAAACGAGTTGATAGGCAGACAAGAAAATTAATCTTCCTCCCAAGAATGTCCATAATTACTGTCTACTAAGAAGGAAGCTAATTCACACAGCCGGAGCTGATAATCAGTACAACCCCACTCTGATGTCAGAGCCGTTATTATGGCAGGCATACTTTTGTTTTCACTAAGTACCTTTTTTTTTTTTTTTTTTTAAGAAAGGCCATCCTATTTTAAAGTAACTTGACAGTTTTGGAGGAGGAGCATTTATAAATCCTGCAGTGGCGGAGTTAAGACAGGAAACTACCTGAGGGATAGAAAATGAAATAATTTAAGAAATCTTTAACACCACTGTAAATGGAGTTTAATTATGATAGTATATGTAAAAGTAAGTGAAAAATACAAATATGTTGGGAACATCTTGGAAACTCGCTTCTTGGAGAGGCTGGAGATTGGAAAAGACTGATCCACTTCCCCTCGTTGATTAGAAGATACCTTGTACTGGTTTGTATCCCTGTGCTTCTCTAGGAGACTACCAAAAACATTCTAAGAGCTAAGCTCATGTAGCTCAGTAAAACAGGCGCACCCAGATATTTCAACAAAACAGGGCACCATGTAATTTAAAGACGTTTTTATTAGCCAGCTATGTTAATTTCTACTGTTTAAAACACACAAAAATATTTTTCGTCAATGAAACTATCAGTGGAGAAAATAAGGCCTTTAAGCGTATAAGAACCTCTGTAAACAGCAATGAGTGAGAAATGAAGAAACTTGCCTCATTGCTTTACATTTGTTTGTAATTTTAATGGAAAGAAAACGAAGCAGCGTAAGACAAAATTGCAGAAATCCAACTTGGTTAATCTCCTAGGATTGATACGTAAAAGCGTATATCTTTTTTGTATAAACCATCTATCTCATTCAGATACTCAGATATCACAGGGAAAGTAAGCTTGCACACTGGCTGAATATTAATTCTTGAGGGGAGGGAGAGTGATTTGGAAGCTGGTTTGATTAAACTAGCAGCCTGAAGAATATTTATTTAATTGGTAATATTACTAGACCTGGAATATAAAACCAGTAAAGAGAATAGGAAGACTGCATATCAACCTCCTTTGGTAAGTTTAAATACAGTCACGTATCGCTTAGGGATACACTCTGAGAAATGCGTCATTAGGCAGTTTCATCATTCCATGATCATAGGGTTTACTTACAGAAACCTAGATGATATAGCCTACTACATATCTAGGCTACAAACCTGTATAGCATGTTACTGTATTGAATACTACAGGTCATTTTAATGCAATGGTAAGTTTTTGTGTATCTAGACATAGAAAAGGTAATGTGTTATATGACATTACCATGGCTACCACATCACTAGGCAATAGGAATTTTTCAGCTCCATTATAATAGGACCATTGTCATATATGTGCTCCATCATTGACCCAACATTATGTGGTGCGTGACTGACACAGACATACATAACAGGAAGGGTCGCTTACTTGTCTACTGTGCCTCACTTGGTTGTGGTTGTTGTTCTCCTTCCAGGGAGATACAGTTCGGAGAGTGACGTGTGGAGCTTTGGCATCCTTCTCTGGGAGACCTTCAGCTTAGGGGTTTGTCCGTACCCTGGAATGACAAATCAACAAGCAAGAGAGCAAGTAGAAAGAGGTGAGCCAAATACATTCATTGTTAGTGTTCATGTCCAGCCCCAGGGGTAGGTGGTGCTTACAGTGTGTCTGCTTGAGGAGAGGGGGGTGTTAAATACTGTTTGGCTGTGTTATGAGACCATCTCTGGGGTTCAGAAGCAGATTTATCTAACATCTCTGCTCTTTACTTACATATCCAAACCGTTTAAAGGATTCCAATGCAAGAGAGAGGTATATAGGCTTTTCTTCCACCCTTTCCCTGTCTGGCAGGATTGTGCTGTTCACTGTCGTTAAGAGAAATAGGGTGGTGTTTCTCAAACTCTTGTATTCTATGCCAGATAAACCTCCTTTTAAATAATATTCCAAATTGAAATGTAGTTAGTCTTCAGGAAGTTTTTGAGAATGTGACAACATTGTAGCACTTCTGAAGAAACCCTTTGGGGTTCCTAGACCACGGATGGGAATAACTAAGCAATGGTGACATACTTGCATGCGCTTGTGTAGTGTACAGTCTCGACAAAAAGAAGCTCGTGATAAAATACAATGCCCTAATGTCTGGGCCCCAGTGAGGGGCGTGGGTGTAGAAATGGGTGTAGGAAGATGCTTTTCTAACTTCCTTCCTACGTTCTCTTACCTCTCACACACTACCCAATGCACTGCTGAAATACTGCCAACCAACAGACTGTAAAAGAATATGACTCATATTCATTTTTATTTCCCTATTGAATTCACATTTACAAAATCCTCATCTTCTCTTCATCTTGAAAAACATAGGTTGTAGAGATGATTTTTTAAAACTGCACACGGCATCTAATTCTGAAAGTGAATACTTAGAGCAACTAAACTATGCATTTGTATGTATCTTACATCAGACTTTCTGAGAAATGAACAAATAAAAAATGTTCTTTGAATTAGAAGTCTACAACTCTGTAATATTGAATTCTGCATCACCTGTAGAAAATAAAAAATCAGCTTCCCCAGAAATGGATGTTTCGTTTCCATATAACTACAGCATAAGGTACTAAAAGTTAATAACTGCATAATGCCCTGTGTGAACATGTGTATCTTATCTCCATTCTAAATTCTCTGTTCTCCTTCTCTTGGGTCTTCAGGATACCGGATGTCAGCTCCCCAGAACTGTCCAGAGGATATTTTTAAAATCATGATGAAGTGTTGGGATTATAAACCTGAAAATCGCCCTAAGTTCAGTGAACTTCACAAAGAGCTCACTATCATCAAGAAAAAACTCACATAGTGACAGGATGGCGCCAAACCCAGCCTTCAGGACTCTGTCCTCCAGCAGAGTAACGTTATTGTCCTCATTAACAATGAATTTATACCACATTACCTTCGACAGTCTTCTACCATTTTTTTTTATTAACTGGGTGTTTTAAAAGTATGTTCCACTTGTAAAAAGTCAAACGCAAATTTGTTAAAGAAATAGGCAGTCCTACCAAGGGCTTTCTTAGCTAACCATAGCAATCCTACCATTTCAGGCCATTGCAAATGGAAAAGCACAGGCTTCTAAGTGTGTGAAGGATAAAAGATTTATCCTTTTCACACCTTGTTTCTACTTCAGGCACAGTTTGTGGGCTGCCATCCTATGCCACAGACCCTACTCAGTTGGTGCTATAAACAGTATTGGTAATGCCATGTTTGCAGTACATATTCCAACCACAGCTGGCTTTCTCCTCTGCCAAAGCAAGATTATATTTGTAAACAGATTTTTATATTGGGAATTATTTGGACCTCCTGAGGTTTTTCTTTTCTTTCTTGCCAGGTATAAGCCCAATGTAAGAATCATCATGCTCCTACATTATTCGTAAGGTTGTCATTTTCCTCCTCCTTTGGGCATCAGAAAACAATGCACATAGGCCGGGCACTGTGGCTCACGCCTGTAATCCCAGGCATTCATGCCTGGGATTACAGGCGTGAGCCACAGTGCCCAGCCCCCTCCCTACTTTGGGAGGCCGAGGTGGGCGGATCACCTGAGGTCAGGAGTTCAAGACCAGCCTGGCTTACATGGTGAAACCCTGTCTCTACTAAAAAAAAACACACACACACCACAATGCATGAAACATCGTTAAAGTTAGAGTTGAGGCAGTTGCCTTTCAAGGATGTTATAGAGAATTGTGAAGCAAGAAACAGGTTTGAACAGGAGGGTGGGCTGGAGAAAAGAGCAGCTAGAATGATTATCAAAAGTAAAGTAAAAATATAAAACCACCTTATCAGAGTTACGCCTTTATAAACACACATTCACATATTCTATTCTAAAAACAAACACATAATACGTATTCTATTTTATGGTCTAAATTTACCAAAAAGCTCCTGAGAAAAGTTTCAGGAATTCATAGAGTCCTCTTAATGGCAACAAAAATTTTGAGAGAAACTGCAAAGCACAAATCCACAGAAATAACAGCATACTTTCAGTTAAGCATCTTCACCTTAGAGGGGGCATTCCAAAATGTAATTTCCTTTATTTCTACCAGTTTTTAGAGCTGTCAGAATTTCATGATTCTAGTTCACCAATACATTCACGTGTGTGCATGTGCACACACACACTACCAAGGTGCAAGACAGATGTGAATGAAGTAGACAGTCTAGAAGTCAGGTGAATATTAATGAGAAAGATGACATAGGGACAGCCCTCCCATTTCTACTTCCACCTTCATTGACCCTTATACTGCCCCCTGGACATTCTTACCATTAGCTGGCAGGTATGCGAGCGTAGTGCTGAAGATGTCTCATGTGGATAAAATCTAACTCAGTTAAAAGTAGGATTCTGTATCTTAACTCTTATCTAGGGAACTAACTGCACGATCTGTATATAGTCGCCTCTCAGGATAATACATATATAGAAGATGGTCATGCTCAGGGCTAAATATGTTCTGGAAGCCTTTTATAAGTTCTCAGGCCTGTGTTCTGGTAAACATCACCTTAGTGATTATTTGGTCTGCATTCATTGGAAGAGCTTAGGGATAGAAAATTCCTCCTGCCCTCTCCAGCTGTTTGCTGCCTGTACCATCGCACAGAACTCACACCAGTACTTTAAATTTAGATTATGAAAGATAATACTGAAGAGAAAAGTGACTTGTATCTGTCATTTCAGTCTCCTTGCAAATTTCATACATACTTAATGATTAGTACATTCAGACTAAAGGGAACTTTTTTTTTGATGGCACATACTATGGTAAATCAAAGCACAGACTCAGAAGTGCTTACCAGCCTTCAAAAGTAAGAGTAAAATGGGATATTCCTACCTTTTTTTTTTTTTTTTTTTTTAGTATTTCTAAGTGAATCTCTATAATATTCTTTGTCTGTTTAAAGAAAACAGCCTCCCATCACATAGTGGCTTCATGCTAAGCTCCTAGCAAGAAGAGAAAATGATGTTTTTGGCTTTAGTTTTATGAACAAGATCAAAAGCTTAATCCTGGCATTCTGGTGTAAAGAAGGAACACAGCATTGATATTTCACTCATCTAGTCTGTTACAATTTGCAGTTCACATCATTACTCTGTGCTTAAATTTAAAAGGCTTTTCAAAACATCGTGACATGTGTAGCATTTAAATTCCATTTTATTCTTTGTCCTAAAGCAGGCAGTGGTATAGTTCAAGATTAATAACTTTTTGGGAGTCTCTCAGTCATATAGAATATTAAATTTAATATAGCCACATGCAGTAAGAAAAACTAATGCAAACAATTTTTCACTGTTAATTTTGTTGTGCTTGAAGCATAATTTATTCATCCCTTCTGTCACTGGTAATTATTGGAATTATGTGCTTTAGGAGGCTAATCCATGCCGAAGAAGCACACACATACTGTTCAGAATGTGCAAGTTGATGTAGGGAAAGGAAGCTTCAGAAATGTACAAAATCCTGTGATTTGTTTAGTAAGAAAAGAGTTGTAACCAAAATTTCTTCTGGTCTGGATGTAATTAGTCCAGTCACAAATCTTTGTGTTAATGGATTGTTCAAGAGTTATATCTCACTACTGCATAGTTCCTCTCCTAAGTCCTTAAACTTATTAAAATAAGGGGAGGTAAACAAGCAGTCTGTCTCTCGCTGGTGTCTTCCCACCTTGAATCACTAACGGGCCTTTATGAGAAAGTTTAGGTTGTCCATCATTTTACAAGGAAAGACATCTTTCACTGTTAAATTAACATTTATTACCAACATGTGAAACCTAAAATTAATTTTGTATCCCATGTAATCTAAGGCCAAAGCCAACATATTCTTTCTTTTCCGGGAAAATAAAATGGACAGGTTTTATTTAAACTTTCAGAAACTGAAGCTTTATTCCGCCCATCCTGCCAGGAGACCACCAGTGAAAGATCTCATGTTTCTCTTTTATCTCCCAAATGTAATGTGGGCAATAAAATTCTCCTTCCACAACTCACTGTTTTATTACAAATACAATATTACTGAAACATCTTATTAGCAGATAAGTGTAGACCAGGAGCCTAATTGTTTTGGGTATTTTCAGTGCACATTTCACAATTGTTTTTCATTTTAGGATTATTTTGAGAAGAAAACAAAATATTTTGTCATTGAAATAGTTTTAATTTCCTTTAAACCATAATTTGGTTTTTGTATCTATATTATATTCAATTCAGTTTTCCCATATAACTTTTCTGAAGATTGGCTAGTACCACAAAATAACTATGGCTTCACAATACTAGTGTTAGATTATGTCAAGAAGAAAGTGTTTTATTTACAACATATGCTACCCACTGAGGACCTTGTAGTGGGATAAACAAAAATTAAAATGCAACAATCCAGATAAATTATAAGGTAACAGTACAAATATCTGAATCATAAGTCACAGTTGTTCAGGGTTATTTCAGTCACACCACTTTATAATTAATTCTTGTGAGTCATCAGATGGAAGAATGTACCTGAAAACCTTACTTAGCACACTCTGTGTACACTGTTTAATGGCCATGCATCTTTTCAAGATTGATATTTTCTGAAAAAGGGTTGTTTGCCTCAGCCCTCTTCTTTTTACATATACTCCCTTTATCATTGATATTTTAGATGTTTCTTATCAACAGAATTGGCTGCCTGTGGTTAGTGCTATGAGTCCTGGCAAGACTTGCTTTTGCATTTCAGAAGCCAGACCCTCCTACAAAACAGAACAGTGCAAAATAAGCAGCAGAGAGACAGACAATTGGAAAAGACATGTTTTCTTTAGGTATTAATATCTTAATTAAATGGAATCAGATTTTATATGAAAATGAGTTTATATTACATTTCCATTATACTGTTAAGTTAATGTGAAAGTTTACCATCAAAATAGTGTTACTTCTTTTATGACTCTGAATTGCTTATACATATCAGAATGTTCATTAAATGTTTTAATTTCATTTATTTTCCTATGTTTTGATTAGTTTCACATCAAGTCTGAATACTGTATATTTTGGAAGAATCCAAAACCACATATGAAGATACTCTGATTTTAAAAGTCAGGATTTCATGTACCAAGAATGACCTACTTGAAGGAGATTTTGCTACACTCTTGGAGTCCCCAAAATTCCCCTTTTAAAAAAATGCTGTCCTCTAGAAGGTGTATAAACTATACCTTAGTCATAATTCAATTTAATGAAATAGTACCCCATTAAAAACCATCCTCCTGCCTCATACCAATTCAGAGATTAAATGCTGAACTTTTAGTGTAGGCATTAGGAATCACTTAGCCACCTAATAAGGACTAAGATTCTTGGGTCGCAGAAAAATCCTGATGTGCTAGATTCTTAGTCACTTTAAACTGCATAGAAGTAATGAGCATAGGCTTCAGTATATTTAATAAGGTGCTGAGGCAGCAGATTCAAATGCAAAAGAGGGAGGAACCAGTTACTCCAAGGCAGGATGATGCACCCCCACACAGAGTGTGGAAAAATTAAAGTGAAACAAAGATTTGGACAATGGCATTAGGAAGCCTAAGGAGAACATGCTACGAGGCCAGATCCTGTCCTGTGCAAGATAAAAAAGATCAGCAGAACTAAAGCAAAAGCAGTCATCTCCAGTGTATGGGCCTTAGCAAGAGTAAACCAAATACCTCTCATTGTGTTAGAAGCTGTGTTATATTCCCAGCTCAGAGATGATTGTGTGCTGTGCAGTGCTTATACTCATTATTTTCCCAACTAATGCATTTGGTCATATGTATTCCAGTTTTTCAAAGACACTACCCAAAGCCTCTTTACATTTGCATTGGTTATATTTAATATTTCTTAAGCTAAGATCACTGATTATCCACACATCATTAGAAATCTTTGGTTACAGTGAAGCTAAAGTCTCCGAAATGAGACTACACTTAGATCAGCCCTATTTCACCTTTGGACTAACGTTGACTAAATGGCTCCTGGAGTTATCCACAGAGGGAGCTTACTATGATGAGAGCTACTGTGGGGAAACATAGTATTCAACAGAGAAATGGAAGAATACAAGTAGCAATGCTCCTTGTCTTCAATAACATTTGAGGGAAAGGAATCTAGAAACCCTAAAGCTAGTCATGGTGCCTAAGGTAAGACACAAAAAGAGACATCCAGAAAGGAAGGTTGAAAGGAAATGAAGGGCAGTAACAAAGCACCAATGTAAAATGACCCAAAGCCAACAATAAAGGCAATAACAATAAGGGAAACTAACCCTCCCAAAGGGTTTGAGGAGCTTCCTGCTGTGTGTCCTTAAACAGTGCATGCCTCTTAAGTCTCTACAACACTTGTTTCAAGGGCATCAAATTGGACATTGGTTTAATTTTTCCTATGCTCCCTATAATCTCGGGAGGTAACCATTGTTTAACCAGAATTACCCTTGCTCTGTTTTTCTGTGAGGCCTCAGACATAACGGTGGTTCAGCCCTCTCCCTAAGCAGTAGCAAGCCGAGTAATGGCACACGTATGTCTAGGATAGCCAGCATTCAGGAAAATTGCTGTGAACCTCCTGTTTTTTATTTTAGTAAAGAAAAAAAATGTCTTTCAGGTTTGTGACATGAAGACAGATTTAGCTTCCCTCTTGTCAGCAAATTTGTAAGAACCTGAAAACAACTGAACATTTGGAATTCACTCTAAGAGATACAAATCCTGAATTTCTAACTATCTTCTCAAATATTACTGAGGCAATTATTATTGAGGCCAGCAAGATGCAAGTGTTCTGCAAAGTAATAAACTGTTCTAAGTGATAGTGTTGATGCTGGAAGTGGAATGTTATGTTTCCCCTCAGCTGTATTCATTCAGAAAGTTTTTCTTGAACATCTACCATATGAGGTGCAGAGAATACTACCAGGTGCTAGGTTTTCCCGTATTTGACTTCTGATTACTATTTCCTTTTCTCATCTTTCACTTTTCAAGATTTTGCTTTACCAAAATAGTAAAGCCTTTATCATCCGCTTATATTGAATAATGCTGTAATTGGCCTCAACCAAAGAGTTTCTCCTCAGGTGCTTCGGGGCCTCTACCCTTCTAAGGAACTCCCAGGCACCTACTTAACAAGGCCAGCTACACACTCAGTATATGAGAAGCCCCATGATAGGTGCAGGTTAGAATTCAAAGACTGGTTGGAGTCCTAGATGTGGCGACAGGATGATCAGGTGGCACTTGTTAGATGGGTAACGCTATCGGTAGAAGCTCCTGAGAGATTTCCTAACGCAGCAAGATTTCTGTGAGTGGAGGTATCCTGGAGGCAGCCTATTGACCAAGTAAGCTGATCAGGTGGCCTCCTCTACCCACCAAAGAAATGTGTAAACACTACCAATAATTGCTTTATCTGAAACTCCTGGAGATACTCAGTTCTTCCATCCCACTGTTCTATTGCCAATACCTTTTGTTGTTTTCTTCACACTCCTCTTGTCAGCAAATGTCTGAAAGTATTTCAATTGTGTAATGTTAAAGGGTTTTTTCCAAGGCTTCAGAAAAGAGGGCAACAAATATGAAGCCTTAAGTTCAAAATAAGCCATTCTACCTAGATATACAGACCCCAGAGCACCATTGCATGAAAATAATCTGTACCCTGCAGTTCCCCAAAACAGTATTCATCCTGAAAAGCCAAACACCACACCTATTTTCCTATTTGCTAAGAATCAGAATAAGCACATTCTAAATAGTATCCAAACCAGATTCTAAAATGACATAGTAAGAAGCCAGATTCAAACTGTAACCAAAGTAGACAATAGAAATATCACTTTACCCCATTGTCATCAGTTAGAACACCCTTGCAAAAACTGTAACCACTTAAGCAATTCATCTGATCCCAGAAGATCAGACCTTCTTTTGAAAGCGTAGGACAGAGATCAATGGGAAATGTCAGCGTTCTGAGCAACACAGGATAAATCTAAGAGGGCCTTTAAAAATAAATCTCAATTCATACATTGGAGCAGCAAAAAACTGAGCAGGAGAGAAAACTGAGAGTCCAAAGTCATTTTTCATATAGCTCTTGTCAAATAGTATAACCTTTGGGTCTTCTTTGAGTTGCCCGGATAATATTCAAGAAACAACTAAATGCCCCCCATTTGGGGAGGGGGGGTTCAGATCTCTAACCTGGATTCAAAGCCTTAGAGGCCGAGAGGGAATCTGGAATCTGGTATTACTGATATCCTAGGTAAAAGAACCGGCCTGGCAGTCTTTCCCAGCTCACCAGTCCGTGCTTTTATTTTTAAACCCAAAAGAAAGAAAGAAACACACCCTTTTATGTAGGAATTTCCCTTTGACAAATAATTTGACTTGGTAGAAATAAACTTGCCTGCCTGCTCTTAAATGCCAGACTGTTGCAAGCAAATGCAGAGGGAAAGGTGCCCAGAGCCATGCTTGATGGGACTTTGAATATTTTCTCCTTACCTAAAGTACGTTGCTTGTATTTAGACTATAAGACGCTACAGAGGTCTATCTCATGCCATGCCAGTGTGAACTGCTTTGCTCCAGTAACAATCAGAAGACCAGTCCAACAGAAGAGAACTTGTCATAATTCCACCTTAGATTCTAGACCTCTCGTACCTACAGTGTACAGTATACAGAATATGTACATGTTCCAATGGAATTCACTATTTTTGGCTTTAGTGTCAAAGAGATTGGTTCTACAAGGTTCGTCTGATTTCCCATAACAAGTAAATTTTATAATCCTATGACTCTAAATTCAATCCCCAATATAGATTCTAAGCATCAAATCAAATTCAAAGTTAAAGGGGAACTGGTCGAGAGGGGTCTCAGTTATTTCAAATCCATGACCAAAGTGGCCAAAGACATGAAACTCTTACACCTGCTGAGCATTTCACTTGACTATACAAAATGTCAGCTACCCAATTCTGTCCTGTGATGTGATCAGACTGTCAGTGTGGACCAGTGGCCAGGAGCATATTTATGGGCCATTTCTGTTCATCATTCTTTACAGAGCACTGAGGTTTCCCACTGAAACAGTTTCTTTAGTCAGATGCCTATAGATTTTACATAAATTTACATTTAAATGTATTAAGTTAGATGGCCTAATTGAGCATCCGAATGGGGGTTGGTGGTGGTGCAGATTCTGCTGGCTTTATGTTATGGTTTTGTTTTTTTTTCTTGGTTTTGTCTAGCTGCTTCTGGCAAGGGCCCTAAAAGATTGGAACACTATATAAAGTCGTAGACATAGAACCATATGGGAAAGCCCAGAGGAAAAACGTGGAAGAATAAAATCAGGTTGTCAACGTGCCAGCAACAGCCCTGACTTCTTCCGGAACCCAAGCAAACTGAAAGCCAGGACAAAATGTACAAATGGTGCCCATGCCATTTGACTGTGGGTGACCCGCTAGGCTAGGGCTCTCATAGTGACTGGTTGTGGAAATATGATTTTTCTAAGTTCCTCCCTTTTCCCTTTGATAGATGCGTTTGAGATAATGGAGTAGGAGTGAGGCCCTAAGGCACTTCTGGTCAAGACATTCCACCTGCAAGCAGCATTTTGAGCAAAGCACTGCTGTGGTTTGCCAATTTATGGTCCATTTAATGTCAGGCTAAAGCACCTTTAATCATTTTTGTTGTTTTAAGATAATATATTTGTGAAGTGGATAAACACTGGAAATAGGGTGCTTCTTCTGGAAAGTTCAGTGGAAAACACAAGGCTTTGGCGGGTTTATCTGGCTTTATAAACAAGTCTGAAAAATGGATGAAAGCTAAATATATAAAGCAGTTGGTTGTCTATCTTTTATCATTTTAACTCAGATCTGTATTTAACACTTATTTATTTGTTAGTTTTTACATTCAAAAGAATACACTTTGAACTTTGGCTAACATTGTAGGATATTTTTAAATTGTTTCTACATTTTTAAAGCATGATTTCATCTTTTTGTAAACTTAGATCATTTTTGAATTGCCTTTTCTTTTCCAATAGACCAATTACCACTCATGTGTCTGCAGAACCTCTTTATTGTATTCTTATAATAAATGTAAAATATTTGTAGCAAACTGCCCTGTCTTATTTAATCTTTCCATCATGTTTATATTTCTCTTCCTTGTCCATATAAATATGCTCCAAGTGGAAGAAAAGGCAGGCAAGATTTCCATGGTAACTGGCCTCCTAGGGATGTAACAGTGCATAAAAATTATTAGCTTTCAGTTTCTCTGCAATTAAGCTTATGAGTTCTGATGATAATGGGTGTGTGTTGTTTACAGTCCAATCACTGCTTCCTGTTTAGAAATCAAAACTGTAATGTAGCTCAAGTCCCGGTTCTCTGGGTGGATTGGCTGTTTGCCTGGATTTGTGTGTTTTACTTTTGGGATTTTTTGTGTGTTTTTTTTTTCCTTTTCATAACAAGATTTGACATAACACAAGGAGTTGAGGGAGAAAGATGGCTGAGAGCTGTTTGGAAACAGAGGCTGAAACCTGCTACCCTAGAGCAGTTCAGATGTGTATCCTTGCCCGTCCCGTACAGGACTGAGCTGGTCACAGAGCCATTGCCCAACTTCTAGGTACCCTTCAGTCAGCAAATCAGTAACCTTCCTGAAACTGCCAGCTGTTGTTTACATGGATTTTGGGCAACATACACTTCCCTTGCATTAAAGCAAGCCCCCTCCTCATCCCTGAGCTTGGATTAGAAGAGTCAACCTCCACCGCTTCTCAAAAACACATGTGTTTACTGTTTGAGGGGTAGGCCACAAGCTGCTTAGGATAGACAAAGTGAATCCATACAATCCTCTTGACCCTCCTGCTTCCACAGCACCCTACCCAGAGCTGTGTGCTTCTGGGCCCTTGGTGAATTCATTTTCACCATAGCTCTTAATTGTCTGTCTGGAGTTGCATCCTCTGCTCCAGCAGGTTTGATATCTGGCACAGTCTCCTAGACAACATGTGCTTTCACTGACTTCAATTAATTAGGACCAGGTGCATTCATCACCAAAGAAGGTTGGCTATCAGACTGAAATCCCATTCCCCAAGATGAATGAATAGCATCTCTGAAATCCTGGAGTTCTTTTGGTGTTTGAAGTCCTACACTTCGTTTCACACTCCCCCTTCTAGCCGATTTCTTCAGGCAAATGGTGATACTGCTTGTTTAAAAAAAACAACACACACACACACACACACACACACACACATACATACATACATGTAAGAACTAGCTTCTATTAACAGCATCAATGGTTGCCCCTTCAATTAAAAACTGAGTCTAAATGAAACGCTTTTTCAAACTCCCCAAATGTGGTGGTCGGTGTGAACTGGCCCACACACTTAGGTCAAACTTGTGATTATGCCCAAGGCTGATGGTACTGGGTTCCAAAGCTGTCTAGCGTTGAAACGAGTACCAAGCTGGGAGGTGGGAAACTCAGGATCTCATTCCTGGTTGGACTCTCACTACTTTGTAAACTCCGATTGGATCCTTTCTCCCAAGGCTGACACTTGAAGGACAGAAAGAACAGCCTGAGAGTATTCACTAAAGCAGAGTCCATTCTCCCTAGGAAAGTGTCACTGTAATTCCTGCTACCCAGCTCTCCAGGACACCCTTAGTTTTTTCCATTCCCAAACCTCATTCTCTAGCCTCCCCATTGACTTTGGAGCCCATGACAGCCTTGTAGCAAATTCCTTTTTTTTTTTTTTTAAACCTGAGTCATCCATAGTTCATTTCTTTTTCCTGCAGCCAAGGATCCTGACCAATATGACGATCTCTAAGACACCTTCGAGCTTTGAGATTCTGTGATCTCCCAAGGCTGCTTGAGTCATTTCAGATATCCAAACACCAACACTACATGGGGTGGGTTCTGTTGCTTTCCTTACACAACGTGGCTGTTGAAATTCAGGAGTGATGAGAAAAAGGAAAATTCCCTAAAGTTTCCCTCACCTAATTGGCTGCTGATTATCCACACTAAGGTTTTTAATGTTTCCCCAGCTCTGGACTTAAGTAATTCAAAATTATAAATGTTTCTTTTGCAGTCTCCCTGTGGTAACCAGTGGTACCATAGGATAGTTAAATGATAAGGTCAATGGACTAGACATTGTGAGGGGCTAATTGATCTATCACAGCAATATAAATGCCAAAAATTAATAGAAAAACAAATGTCATAGGAAGCTGAGATATTGACAGCCTTAGAAACTCCTCTCTTAAGGCCTCTGTCTCCTAGCTTTCGGCAGGGCTTAGTCTTCTTACTCCACATTCAGAAGGGCCTTTCCCTCTCCTGAAAACAAAAAACTCACAAAATGTTTCCTTCTAAACCTGAGTAAAAGCCAATAAACAAGCCTGTTGATATTTCATCCCAAGCTGATTTCCTAAGTAGCCCCTAGAGTCCTTCCCTCTGCCTGCCACTCACTTCTTGTCCTCCTGCCACATGACAAGGAATGATTCTGACACAGCGATGCAGCACAGCAGGTCTCTGAGGAAGGTACTTAGGATGCATGAGGCTGATGAAAGGAAGTTAGTGGGGCAGGTGAAGGATTTGCTCACTGGTGACCCATCCAGGTTCACAGTCTTACAGCCTGTGAAGAATAGTGAAGACCTTGTCACAGCCAGCCAAAAATGTAAGAAGCCGGCATTTATTTTCTCCTCCAGGATTGCACACTTCATTAGTCTTCCAGGAAATACCAGCGATGGGAACATCTTACCTGTTTTGGCATTACTTTTCATCTCGACCAAGTAACGTGAAGGAGCAGCTGTCTGCTCCAGCCAGGCTAACCCCTAAATTTCTTTTGATGTCAAACTAATACCAGCTGCTCCTCTGTGCAGGTCTAATGCATATAGAAACTTAAAACTAGGAGACCAACTGACTTCCAGCACCATCACTCCTCCTCTTTGCTTCATAGCTCCCTCCCATTCTTCCTTTTCTTCTCTCTCAGACACACCCTTTCTCCTGGTCTGAAATGAATCCTCTATCAGTATATGCCACAGTTTCTTACCCCAAAGCAGATGTTCCGTGAATATAATCATTGGTCTATATTGGGAAGACCAGAGATCATTCACAAGATTAAGCATAAGGTAAAAGAGGAGAATTAGAATGAAAATCTAACTGTAAAGAGCAGGGGAAAAAAAGTATCTGGAATTTGTTAATTAATGCAATTAGGCAATAAATGGTACTGGATCTCTTGACAACCAAAACAAACAAGAAGGAATATTTTAGAAAATGAGAAAGGCTAAAAAATGAATTAAGCATTTAACTTAAAAGGTCAGAAAAAAAAGTTATTTTAGGACCTTATGTTTTCTAAGATTGAACGTAAGTCATGGCAATGGTCCTTAGCTGGGAGCCATTCTGTCCCCCAGGGGACATCTGACGACTTGTCACAACTAGGAGTACTACTGGCATCTAGTAGACAGAAGACAGGGACGCCACTTAACATTCTCCAGTGCACAGATCAGACCCTACATCAAAGAATTATCTGACCCAAAATGTCAGTAGTGCCATTACTGAGAACCTTGAGTCATGGGGCCTATCTGAATTTCTATCCAGAAGCAGGGGAAGACTTTAAAGGACAAACTTTAAAGGAACAGGAGAAGATAAAAATCAGAATGTTTTAAAATGTATTTCCCGTAAGTTGGCATATTTGATGTATTGGTTACACAGAGAAACAATCTAGAGGATTAACAAAACCAAGACTTAGTTCTTTAAGGCCATCCTCTGATGAGCTTTACCAAGAAAAAAAAAAAAAAAATCATACCAGGAATTAAAAAAAAAAAAACAGGTATAAAGAACTACAGAAACAACAGTGATTGAAAAGGTAATAAATGAATACTATGAACTTTATGCTAATAAATTTGAAAACTTAAAAATAATTGACATATTCCTAGGAAAAAATATAGTTTACCAAAGCAAACTCAAGAAGAGATGGACATTCAGAGTAGTTCTATAACCATTAAAGAACTGAAATCAGTAGTCTAAAATCTTCCCACAGCACTTATTTCAGGAAATTCAAGATTTATTTTTATGCATAAAGTTGTACACAAATGTTCATAGAAGCATGCTTCAAAACAGCCAAAAACTTGAAACTACCCAAATGTTCTTCAGTAGGTGAATCATTAACTGTGGCATATCCATGAGATACTACTCAGTAATAAAAAGCAATAAACTATTGATACTCACAAGATGCACCTCAAGAAAACTATGCTAAGAAAAAAAAGCCAATCTTAAAGGGATAAATACTGCATAATTTATGTAATATTGATGAAATAACAACAGAGATAGAAAACACATTAGCAAATGCCAGGAGCTAGAAATGGGGAAGGGATGAGGGTGGCTATAAATGAGCAACATGAAAGAGTCTTGTGCTGATGGTACAGTTCAGTATTGTAATACAGTGCTGGTTTCACAAGGCTACACATGATAAAACTTCATAGAGCTACATGCACACAAACACATCAATGGGTACATGTATAACCAATGGAATTTAAATAACCTCTATGGGTTGTACCCATGTCAAATTCTTGGAGGCGGCCAGGAGAAACACATAGATTTCCCTGTGCATTCCTTTGCAGCCTCTTGCAAATATATAATTATTTCAAAGTGAAAAGTTTAAAAAATTATATAAGGAAACAAGAATCTTCCCACAAAAACAATACTAGACCAAGAGGTATAGGATTTGGAGGTGATCCACCATGCTTCCAGGAATGGATAATTCTTGCAAACTCTTCCAGAAAAACGAAAACAAAAGATGACAATGACTCTTCAATCTATCTAAAGAGATAAGTTTGAAAACAAAGTACAAGGAAAATACAAAAAAATTACAAGCCAATCTCAATCATGAATATAGATGAACTTCTCCCAAAGTAAAGGCAAAGTTAACTCAAAATGAATAAAATATATAAAATATCAGTTTTGAATTAGATTTATTCTAAGAATAAAAGGATGATTTTTATGAGTTATTAATATAAATTAGCACATTAACAGAACAAGGAATAAAACACATAAAATTCTGCCAGGCAATCAAAAACCTTAGAAAACTAGGGGAGAAATGTAACTTCTTTAAAATTATAAAAAGATCTACAAAA